ACATTTCCAGATCAGGCCCGCATGCCAGACCTTGTCAAAGGCTTTCTGGATATTTAGGAGTATTGCGACTGTACAGAAGGAGAAGTTGATGCTTTAGGAGATGTAGGTATGAAGTTCGACGAGTGCGTTCTGTGTGGAGTGTTCCGGCCTAAAACCATGTCCCTATAGGCCAAATCATCTACCACCTAGGCTCTCAGAGCATAGGATATGGTCAATGATCGAGGCCCCCTGTTGACTCAAGAACTTCGGATCTTGACAAGGTATTCTGTCTATGTTGTGGTCGATGAAGAAGTTGAATAGAAGTCTGCCCTTTGTATTGAATTTTTTCTCTGAATTGGGTATACCTGGAGTTGACGTCTCCTAAGAGAAAGCTTTGGGAAGCTGCGTATTATATCATTTCTCTGAAGATTGTATAAGGGGAATGATTGTAATATGCTATGACTGTCACGTTACCGAAGTTGGATAGTAGGTCGATTGCCTGGCAATCAAGATTCAGGAGGTTGGTTGAGAGGTTGTGTTTTTATGGACTAAGCCCTGTTCGGTTAGGATGGCAATGCCGCGGGATTGTGGGTCTTTTGGTCGGTGGGTGATGTTGTAACCGGATGAATTTGGGGAATTTTTGGTTAGTGTGTCAGTGATACGTAAGATTTAGATGTTTTGGGTGTGAAGAAGTGACTTGGAGTGCTATCTTTTTTTTATTAGTCCTTGGGCGTTTATAGTACCGATGATTAAATGTCAATTCTCTTCAACCTTGTTGCCACTGGCTGTGGCAAAGAGTGAGTGTCCTACTATGGTTTTGCAGAGTTCGTTGGTAAGAGACAAGATTTCGGTCCTCATAGGGGGTATGAGGTTGAGTAGAAAGGTGGTTTGTTTCTTGATAATGACTTCTATTTGCCGGGTGACGGGTGTGATGTTAACTGGTTTCTTTCTGTATTGCTGTTTTGGTGCATTTTTTGAGGAATGAGTCTCGCAGCAGTGAAGGCATTTTGTTTTACGAGAAGGGCACTTTGTTGCCAGGTGCCCGGTTGAACTGCAAGTATTGCAATATTCGGGAATCGCCTCACATTCATGAGCGCGAACGTAAATGTTCACACCGTATGTGAGACATCTGGTGTACTGTTCTTCATCAGTGGTAATGATACGGATGAGTAGGGTTGGGTTATTAGTTTTTTTGAAGACGATTATCAATAGTCTGATAAATTGTAGGTTAGCTTCGACTAGGAACGTGCCTATTTCATCCGTCGTGATGTCAAGGTTGACCTCCTTGATCACGAAGGATAAGTGGGGGACTCTGCGTGCAGTCGGCTGGCTAGTTTGCAGGCGAATATCTATTACTTTGAAGGAAGTATGACCAAATCCCAGTATGGCAGCCGTTGGCATGGCTGGAGAGGAGACTCGCACCATACCACCAATGGAGACGACAATCAGAACACGCAGGGCGCTCCACAGAATTAGGCCAATGCATGGGGTCTTCTCCAATAACATTGAAGACCTTGGCTTATCAAATCGCCTGACCTTCGCTTTCTTCAGGTCGAGTGGGATGAAGTCGGAAACTGAGGGGTTCATCATGGCTTGCCAGGATGGTGTCTTCAACACATTAGTCTACCGCAGTCGCGTGATGGGTATAGAGGTTCCTGACACAAGGTGCAGGGCCTGCCGCGAGGCGCCCGAGACCCTAATGCACATGCTATCAGCATGTCCAGCATATGCGGTCTCGGCCTATATCCATCGACATAACGCGGCCCTAAGAGTGCTATATTACCATTTACGGCACTCTTACAGTATTGACGAGACACCGGTGTTGCCCTTCGCTCCGGGGGATATTGAATCCGTTGTGGGGAACGAGAAGTGGCGAATTGATTGAGACTATTTGTCCCTCACTCTCAGGCTCATACAAGCTAATGAGCCTGATATAGTCCTTTTCGACCACCAGAGCAACACAATATTTGTCATGGAGTTTTCAGCTCCTGGCGAGACGAATATCGTCAGAAAAGAGGAGGAAAAACGGATAAAATATCGAGATTTTCTCTTCGAACTCCGCAGACGCTATCCAGATCACTCTGTCAAGACAGTTGTTCTCCTCTCTACTCTCTAATCTTAAAATCATACCGGCTTGTCGCACTAAGGCAGAAATCTTAGCCCCACAGATGCAGAAGGCTGTCATTTTTGGATCACTGCGCTGGATCAGGGCACATGATTCTCGGACCCAATGATCACCTACCTCACGGTGTGGGGGGGAGGTCATTGGTTGATAATGCTGGCACGCCCTCCCAAATGTATCGGGGGGACACTAACATCCTTGGCATTTGGTGAGTTGCGACACCACTTACCCGAGCAACTGGTGCAAAACCAGGCGCACCCGGGAAGGAGAACTCTATTTTCCCTCCGGTGCCGGCCGTGAGTCCACAGGGCTAACTACCCGGTGATCCCAACACTTGGTTCCCAATAATCTAGGAAGAGACCCCTACAATCGACCCGCTCGGAGGGGTCAGAGGCAAAGTGGTGCAGCCCATAACGATGATTTGCCCACCGACGACAACCCTGGCAACGACAACAGACCTTTCGAGTGGACGCATGAGCTGAGAGACAGCCTTATGCATTGCTACGAGAGTAGTGAGCCCGTACGAAGAGGCTACATGGCGAGATTGCATGCTCTGTGGTGTGAAACACATACGGAGCATGCCGCCTTTTCCGCTCAAAATCTTAGGTATTACGTATCCTATCTTTGGCTGAAGGGCTATATAGCTCCTTCCCAGCCTGCTAACGAAGTGCTAGAAGTGACAGTTCTACCACCCGTTGGCACGACAGGAGAGGAGACTCGCATCATGCCACCAATGGAGTCAATCAGAACACGCAGGTCGCTCCACAGGATTAGGCCCCTGAAGCCACAAGAACTGGCTTGTTTGGATGCGGATGTTCATAGTGTTCTTACAGAAGAGGCCGACATCTGGCAAATTAACATTGTCGTGTATAGCGTCGTCCAATCGCTTTCTGAATCGGAAGCACGGAATCCTGGCCTTCCAACAGGATTCTTAGCCTCCATCTTGTGTTCACGGCGTGTACACAACCGCCGACCGCTGATCAGGTGGAGTCCTTCTGGAAGGATATCTAAGAACACCCGCAGCCACTCAACTCAGACACTCCAGCCCTAGCGCAGTTCGAAGCTTTCAACAGAGAGCTTTGACAGCCTGAGCTCAATGAACTGCGCAACCCGATAACCCCGGATGACGTTCACAGGGCCCTTGTTGGTTCCAAGAACTTTACTGCTCCAGGACCATATGGGCTGAACACTTATTGGTGGAAAAAACTACCAAGTACCCACCGCCATCTGGCCAGAGTTTTCAACTCATGGCTGGACGGAGAGCAGCCGATTCCGGATTAGTTTGTCGAGGGCGGACCGTTCTTATCCCCAAAAGTGGAGATTTGTCGATTCCTAAGAATTACAGACCGATAACATGCTTGAATTCGTGTTATAAGTTGTTTACAAGCATCTTATACACACGAATACTCACCGCAGTTGACCGAGTGTTCGAACGGATATATGAGCAGAGAGGGTCGAAAAGAGGAGTCGCTGGATGTAAAGAGAACCAGCTCATCGATAGATGTGTAACGCAGGACTCAATACAGTATAAGCGTAACCTCTCTATGGCCTGGATCGATCACCGTAAGGCATCTGATACAATTTCGCATGAGCTCATCTTGCATTTGCTCAGATGCCTTGCGGTACCCGACAACATAGTGAGATGCATTGAACAGCTGATATCATTTTGGCGAACTCGCTCCACTATAACATCTGGTCAAGCAAGAGTCCAAACAGGGTGAGTCACTTTCAGAAGGGGTGTATTTCAGGGTGATTCTCTTTGTCTCCTTCTCTTCTGCATCGCACTATTGCCATTATCCGTTCCGCTTAGAAATACTCAAGGGTATAACCGTGGCACCCCCTGAAACCGGAGGCACAAGGTCACCCATTTGTTTTATATGGATGATCTTAAACTTTATGCCTCTGGAGAGAAGGATCTCCATCATTCCTTGAGGCTGGTGGAAGAGTATACGCATTTTGTCGTCCTCAAAAGAGGACGATGCGGGGACTACGGAGAGGATGTGCAGCTCGTAGATGGAAGCATCCTACACCATCTGGATGCCGGAGAGACGTATACTTACCTCGGGGTGGAACAACGCCACTCACAAGTGCTAACAGCAGCCTACCGGTGATCGACGCGGATCACCGGTCGATGTGTGTGCAAGGTTCCGTACCCACATGTGGTTCACTATTGGAATTTGGACGGCCAGTATAAAATCGGCCGATATTTTATTGGTAGCGGGTGCTTGCACACTCACCGGATTTTTATAGGTCAGGCTGCAGGCTGCAATGTTACGATTTTACGGTGTTGCAAAGTGTAAGGTATTTACCGTTAAATACTGTATTTCAATTACATATTTCAATTATCGCACTTATTTCGCTATCGCTCTCTAGATTTTGAACTATTTCAAGCTGACCCTACTAATCATGTGACTTCAGGTCAGACATTTACAGCTAAATATTGTATTTCAATTACATATCATAATCATCGCACTTACCTATTTAACTATCGTTCTCCTCGATTTTTAACTATTTCAAGCAGACCCTGCTTGTCATGTGATGTTTCGTTTATTATATAACAGTTTCATTTGACGCTACCAGAAATCATCAATTGGAGCTTGATGTCGTATCATAAGTTGAAAAAACTCGATTATTTTAGTTTCATCTCTCGTACTTTCGAAAGTGATTTGAAATCCGGTTATACGTTTTTGGGGAGTAAATTCATCTATTGGCTTCAATTTATTCGTCCAAGTGCTTTAACTGAAAGAAAAAAATATCAAAAATGCAATGTTTTGGATGAGGATTTTATTAAACGTATCGGCACTATCGACAACAATGACACATTTTTTCCAAGACACGTCGAAAACTATGAATAGTGTCTAAAGATACTTTGAAAGTACTAATATTATTTTTTTCTCAGGGCATGCGGACGGCTGGAATACTAGGATGTGTAGGGACCTTTTTGGGAACTGCCATAAAGATTTTTTCCTTGCAAACGGATAGATTTTACGTAGTTTTCTGTGGTCAAACCATTCTTGCAGTCTCACAGGTTCTGATCGCCTGCTTGCCTCCCAAATTGGCAGCTCTTTGGTTTGATGCCAGTGAGGTCAGTATAAAATGATAGTCTCATTTGGGAGAGGAAAATTTTGGCTTCCTATTTCTCCATCTTTATACAAAAAATGCAATAAATTTCAAAAGTAACTCCATACAAAGATGTGTATATAATGCGAAGAAGTAACTTTCAGACACACACTGGAAGAAAAAACCGTCTCGAAACGGCTCTTTTCATATAAATATTGAATTACACAAAAGAAAAATACTTTCCTAACAAATATCTTCATGTGAACGCTGAATAATACAAAAAACATTTGTTCTATTCCGTTTGTATTTTAATTTGATTTCATATCGGTTGAAAAAAATTACTGAGAAAATAGACAGTATTGCAAAAATTGCAATATAAAATCCAAAGTTTCAGAAAATTGCGTGTGCTATGAAAAGTTCTGAAAATAAGACATGAGATGATGTTCATAGTACTAATCATCATCTGTAAAAAAGTTCGAGAGGCAATTAGTAAAATCAAAAGAGGATGAAATTTGTACCATAATAATAGGTACTTATACCTACTGAATATTTTCATAATCAAGCTTGATGAGGTACATGTGAATTTCTCTTAATTATTCGAGTCAGACCTCCCATTCAGAATTTACAATGGGTTTACAAAATAATGGACTATGTTTCGCGATAAAATTACTGCTCCATATTGCACCCGTGCGAAACTAGGCCGCATTAGTAATCTGAAATAAAAATTATATTACTCTTCAGACAAAATAGTGATTGGAGGAGAAATTATTATTCTTCATCAATCACAGATATATTTTCTCAGTGTGTTGATAATGAAGTCGAAGTCTTTCCTTTGGAAGTCGTCAGAAACAACTATGGTTTTGAAGAGTTGTTTTTCATATTTTCAATAAATATCATGAATATCAGTGAAGTAGCAATATTCAAGATATTCACGAAATCACTATAGCACCAACATTAAAGTTGTTTTTTATGGATATAACAATGTTGCAATTGGAGCATCTGAGATAAGTCGTTAATACATGTTATACTCCAAGTCGATATTTAATTTGAGGAATACGGGATTCTGAATAATCAGAAATGTTTAGAAAACAGCAAAATCAAAATTGGGTGGAATTGGCCGCGGTGGTAGTGCACCCTTATCACGATCGGAAGGCCGTGGGTTCGATTCCCACCTCGACCAGATATTTTTCTCGAGATAATTCATCTGGTTGAAGCTGGGATGATTCTGTAACCGTGTTAGGAATCACACGTTAAAAGGTAAGACCTCGTTAGTCCTTAGCTCGCACAAGTTTCTCAGCTTCTGAGAGTTGTAGTTCGAATGGGGGCAACAGCTGATTACCGGAAAAAACACATTTTAAAACAGATTCAAAATATCGCATTTCCTTATAACTGGTTCTGATAGACCAAAGTCAATTCATATGTATCTTCAATACGAAATATAATACTCAACTCGAAGTCGGTTCAAATTTTTCAGTCATGTGTCTTCAATAGAAATATAATTTCCAACTCCAGTCTGTCGAATTTGATTCTAATGAACGATACAGTTGAAATTCAAAATATTGATTTATTCAAAAACTAAATGTTGCCCGCGTAGGATTTGGTTTGTCACATTAAGTTTCATGACAGAACATTATAAACAAATAGTTACAATATTTTTTATTAGCCCAAAACTTCAGGTTTCCAACTTCAAAACTGACGAAATTCAATACAATCTTTGAACCCCTATTTCTTTCCTTTGGGGTGGAAATTCCTGATTCCTCTTCTTAATGCTTATTTACGCTCTACATAAGCCTGCCCATTTCAAGATTTTAGGTTCAGTAGCTTCGGTTGTACGTTAATATAAGAGCGATCAACATTTAGTAATTTATATTTTTACTTTAAAAATACAGTAACTAAAAAAGTATGCCAACTGCACTAAGTAATGAATAGCTTCGAGAATTGAATCAGGTTCCTATAAAGAAATTCGCAAAACCAACACAACGGTCAATGACGTCTGCCCTCGGGTTGCGTTCTCGGCCATGGCGCTTCATTGTTCAGACTGCCTCTCCACACCCGCGCATTGTCCTCCAACGTCTTACAGAGACGCGACGCGCGTCTAAATTTGACTTTGATCTTTATCAACGTGATCTCTATCTCATCGACTGGAATAACATTTATACTTCAGGAAATCCTAATGATGCACCTACTTTTCTGTATGATAATCTTATAGCTCTTCATAATAAACACGCTCCGGTTAGAAGAGATAGAACTACTAGACGCCCAGCACCGTGGATGACACCCATTATTGAAGAAATGAGATAGAGCCTTGACCAAATTCAAGCATACAGAGGACTAGCAACTGACTTCACTTATTACAAAGACATACGTAATCATACAACTGCAGCCATACGACACGAAAAAAGAGCGTATTTAAATTTTATACTCCACAGAAAACATGCATATCTGGATATCCTGAGAAACGATAGAAAAACTGAACTTCCACATAACCTCACTAATCCCACATTATTGAATTCTCATTTTCTCTATTCCAATCACGTCACTGAAACTCCAGAGCAGTCATTTCTACTTGATAAATATTGTTCTTAAACTAATCACAACATCAAATTTCGCGAGATAGACAAAGGAAGGAAACACCTGAATGCTATCACCAGTGATGCTACAGGCTACAGGATCGGATCAACTATCTCTACGAATGTTGCATTATGTAGAAACTACACTACTTGACCATAATACTTATATTATTAATTTATCTATTTCTACTTGTACCTTATCCCTGTGGCTTGGAAACAAGCTAACGTGATTCCCATACCAAAGCGACATAATTCGGTCACCTCAGACCAATGAGCATACTCTCGATTATCTCTAAGGTGTTTGAGTTAATCTTTTATGGAAAAAAAAACATTACAACTTCGGCTCATTCAGGTTTCCGAAAATTACATAGAATGTCATCACCGATGACATTTCCACTTTAATTGATTTACCTGATTCCAGTAAACTATAATAAGGCGTTCGACACTATTGATCATAATGTTTTATGTGATGAACTTCTATATTATGGTTTCTCTCAGGAAGCTTGTGCGCTTATCGGAACGATGTCAGTCGATAGTAGTTGGTGCATTGACGGATTCGAAACCTTCTCACCATAAATATTCCGAATATATATCATATCATATGATTTTTCCATTACCGGAAGTTTTTATTTTGCATGAAACGTAAATATATGTCAAAAGTGGATAATCAAATTTTCATATTTTTTTCTCTCAACTTCTCTACAACTTTACATATGCTTCTCATACGAAATTTCGAAATTATTTCATCACATGCACACCTAATGCCTATTTGACATGTGGCCATGACGTCCAAAAATTCGCGAAATGACATAATCACGAAATTTAGTTATCTCTTAATGATGCTTACTGGCTAAGTGAAACATACTAAATGACAGAGCGCATCTTCGTTTTTACTTTGTCGATACTTTCTGCGTTTTTTCCTAAATGATGTATTTTGAAAAACCCTGTATACAGATTGATACCACGTTTTTTTCTTAATGTATTTTGAGACACCCTGCACACAATGAGTGATCGCACGTTGAAACGTTAAAGCGCCACACCTTGTACACATTGATACCATGTTTTTTTCTTGATATATTTTGAGACACCCTGTATACTCCACTGGATGCTTACCGCCATGTTTTTTCTTCAATCTAATTTTTCATTCATCATTATTGATATACCACTTTCGCCCTTTCAATATTTTCATATACATCATATAATATGGTCATATTAGTATAAAATTTAAAGAAACAGGATGGCCCAAATTAGATAACTACCTTGACGCAAACCTACATATTTTCTTAATGAACTTATGATGTTTAAAAACCTTAATAGGGTGAGCACAGGAAAAAGTAATATGCTAGTTATTCCTAAACACTCAAGTGTAGTGTACCAACATTCTTTCTCATATTCAGCACCCAAATTTTATAATATTCTTCACAAGGAGTTTTGAAACTTATTTTTATATAATTTCAAGAAGACATTGAAAATCCTACTTCACTCACTATAGATTTGCTTTTAAAACGGACCTGTATATGATAATTATTTACACTATGGATACAAATTAGGTGAAAAATATCACCAATTCAATTTAATTTTTATACTTTATAATTATACTACTATAAGTTGTTTTTAGATAAGTAGATTGGGTATTATTGATTCTGTATACGTTAATTCTCAAATATTTCTTGGATATTTTTTCTCTGAATTATTTTTTTTTTTCGGCAAGATTAAGTTGAAAAGTAGCCTACGCTAATACTTCACCTTTTCATCAACATAGAAAATGTGGGAATCTTCCAAAGAAAGGAAGGAAGTAATCAATTTTAAAATAAATAACTCTATACATGGATAGTAACTTTCAGACACAACCTGAAACAGCTACTTTCATATAAATATTGAATTACACGAAAGAAAAATTAATTAAAAACAAATACTTTCATATGAATTATACACTGAATTATACAGAAGACACTATTTAGACAAAAATTCGTTATGAAATAAAACCAGATATCTTTCACAGAATTTCTACACAAAATGAATGGTAAAAAAATTGCATTTACAAGAAACACTGCCATCCTCACTGGTAGAAATCGATGTTCCGCCTAAAGACACTTGCCTATAGATCCATGTATAGAGTTCCTTATATTATACTTCCATCCTTTCTTTGGAAAATTCGCACAGTTTTTTGTATCAAGATGGAGTAGTAGAAAGCCAAAAAACTTTCTTTCCCAAAAAATTAGTCACTCCTAAATCAATATAATTAGTCACTCCTATCAATATAAACAAGATTCCTCTTAACTGACATTTAATCAAATAGGTGAATGAATGTCATTACGATGTCATCGATGACATAAGTAGATAAAACTCATTCCGTGACAAAAAAATCGTAATTTATGAATGAACTGGGTGTTTTTTCTTATAATGTTATCTAGAATGGTACTGAAGAGCCCTAAGGCAAGTGTCTTTCGGCGAA